CCGACCCGACGAGGCCTTGCTGGCTGTCAAGAAAGGAGACGGCATAGAGTTTGGGGTTTGGGGGGTTGGCAGAATTCTCAACCACGTGCAGAGGCAGCCAACCTTTTAGGGACGGCCTCCACCCCTAGTCTAAGTTCCCGGACCTTCAAGGGACTCGCCTTTGACGCTGCCACCAGCCTGGCACTCTGCATACGATGTGTGTTATTTATTTTTTGTTGGGGGGAGGGGGAGGGGGGGGGGGCGCTAGGCATCAATGAATCTCAGGGTCAACCCCAAATCTTACACAAGTAAAAGTGCTGCTAGGGGGATCCTCCACACAACACTTTGCCTGCTGCATACTGCGTAGAACGGATAAGCGCATCACGAGTTCCTTCTTTCGGCTATGGGTCATTTGCGGGTCCCTGCATGTCTCATGCAGACATCACCACTGAACTTTACTGGATCGACACGCAGACGCCCTGCCCGGCATCCTCAAGTAAGCAGACTTTAAGATGAGGCCGGCAACAGCAACATGTACCCGATCCCTTGCGCGACGTCCTGTTCGACCTGTATGCTTGAACATAGTCTAACACCGAAGGTCTCGTCTCCAAAGGGCTCCATCTGTTGTAGAAATCTAGCATAAGTGGGACTCTGGCTTTGGGGTTTGGATCTCCTTGACATATATTTCACAACTTCAACGAAAGTAGTGGACTGGACTTGGACCAACATGGTTGTGATGCTGTCATGGAAACAGCATCTGTTAAATGTACTGGAGCATAGACAAGAGCAATCCCAAGGACGGCCTGCGAAACAATGTAGCGGTAGATCCTGAGATGCGACGGATCTGCATTTGTTCCGCTGCACCACGGATCTAGAAACCTGAAGTATTGCCGTAGACGCAGATTTGGGGATCTAACAAAATTGTATCCACATGAGTTGCGACATGATGGGTCTAGTCTAAGGGATTACTGTTCTCAATGCTGCCCTGCTAATTTCTGCATCCATTCAATGATAATCAAGAAAGGAGGTCTGAGCTCTGCACGGGAGAACTAAAGGATGTTCCAGAGGGTGCACCTGGCACTCCACATGCAACATCAAACACCTACATATGCACGCACATGGGGGTCTGACAATATGGGGCCTCTGACCCGTGATGTTGATTGGCGTGTTCAGAAACAAATCGACAACATCACGTCTCGCAAGCGAATACTGGGCATGGTTCCAGGACTCAGAGGACTGAGCTCATCACATACGCTGTGCCATCACCCTCTGCCAAAGTTTGCTCCAAGGTCAGGAGGCGTTGCCTTGTCAGCTGAGACTTGCTGCAGCTTCTTTGCAAGGATCTTGGAAACCCTGTGCAGCTTAAGATCTCAACAATCTGTAATTCCTAGCAGCCGTACCGTACGGTGTATGCAAGGTGGTCCAAGATCTTTTCCATACATATCAATGAGACGAACAACAGCGAAAGCAGCCATGGCAGCAGCAATGGCAGCAGCAGTTGCTGCTGAGTTTTTCCAATTTGTTGGAGGCATATTCATGGCGAATTCCAGTTGGAGAGGGAGGTATATGTGGGAGCTTCAATTCTGACAGACTCGCGAATGACTTTGTGGTTGCAGGGGCTTGCTCGCCGTCTATGCTCGAGCATGGAGAGAACACAAAGGAGTCAAAACAGAATAATTGCCAAAACCTGCGGCCAATTATTGGAAACTTGGCCATGTGCTCAGACTTCCTCCAATCGCCACATGGATTGGTTTAAGTTTGAATAAGTTTGTGCCGTTCAGGTGTCGGGCTTTGGGATGGTGAGCTTTCCTATGGCAAGAGCTCAAGCGTTGTTGATGGGAAATGTCTCAGATTTGTGGCCTTGAACAAGAGACCCTGCTGTACCAGGACTCCATAATAGCCGCCAAGACTTTTGAGACATTCCTAGACGGGAACACTGAGCACCCAAGCCTCCGGACAGCCTGGCTGGAAGCTTTGACTTCCGGATCCTGGCAGATCCCATCGAAGGCGGCAGTTTCGGGGAATCTTACACATGAAACTAAGGGCGTAGGTTCTGCATCTGCTTTCAGGCTGCTCCCAATCATCATACCCTGAAGAATTTCAGAGACATAACAATTGCAATGTCTAATCTTGTCGGAAAGGACTGTCCAAAGTCATGAACCCCTGTCCTCAATGGGCTTCTTTTCCTCGGCTATCTGGCCACCACCGTTCAGGCAGCCTTCGAAGCGGGGAGCAACATCTTGGGCAGCAAGCAGGGTTCAGGGTCTTAAATTTGGGGTGTTTTTGTAGTCGCTCTCAATACCTGGACTGGAATTGTCAACGGTGGTCCTATGGCTTCTGCCACTGTTACTCTGATATTCTTGAAACGGCTGTTGTCCTTTTGCTGCTGCTCCTACTGCTGCTGCGGCAACGACGACTACTGTTATGACTACGATTACGACTATGGCTACAACGACTACCAAACCGACCAGAACCACCGCCACTGCTGCTGCCAGTACCACCGCCGCCAGCGCAACTGCCACCACTGCCACCGCCACAGTCTTCACCCTGTCAACTGCCGCCACCACCAGCACCACTACGGTTGCTGTTCACACCTGCACAGCCGCCGCCGACGCCGCCGCCGCCG